GTGTGAATTGTGTAGACAACTACAGCACTGCATCTCCTCTATTACATCCCAGTGCATCGGTAATGCTGATTGGCTGGATTACTGAAAATCATTTTAAACAGTTGGATGGAATCCCTATACAGTAACTCAATTAGCTGAGTTACAGACTCCAACGTCCAGGCCATAGGCTAATGACGCATGTTCCTGTATAATGAGCAAAGGCAGAGACCAGGGCTTCCCTGCTGCCTGTCCCTCCTGACCAATCCTCTCTTTAACGACTGACCTCAGCCATGTGCATGGATCCTATAAATATCACCAGTGACCCACACACTACAGTGTTAATGGATTTAACATTTCCTTCGTGTGTTTATTAGCAAATTTCTGGTGAAGAAATTTAACGTTAAGTTGTTAATTACACCAGATCTTCCAAAAACCCTGTATCCTCCAAGACAGTGTTTCCCAAACTTTTTTTGGGGGGACCCATATTTTAAAAGTCACAAACCTTCACGACCCAAGTCAATAGAATTAATCGTGATGCAAGACGACCCTAAAAAGAAATCTCTTGCGACCCACCTGAGGGTCGCGACCCAGTCTTTGGGAAACTCCAAGCTCCAAGACTGGGGTCGGGCCCACTGGTAGGTTGCAAAAAATCCGTACTCAACCAGTATGCGGATTAAAGACTGGAGACAACACAGTTAAAAATGCAGTTGTTGCTTTGAAGGCCTATGTGTGACCTATTTCAGGGTGAGTTAATTTTCTGTAGATGATAAGGTCACAATTTGTGCCGAGTTTTCCTCTTTTTTTTTTTGTCGTAGTTTCTGAGTCACTGAGTTCTGTTCTTCCTCCTTAGGATTGTCTTGTTTGTCACATCTCCCTCCCGGATCACTGACCTGCCAGCCTCACTCAAACCATGCCATCTGCAAAATGTATTTTGTGCTGGTTTTTAATAAACACCTTAAGACTGTTCTAGTCTCTGCTTTAGGATTTGGGACTGAGACAGGAACTCTGAACTTCGTGCAGTTAGATATGTGCCATATCGCCCTTCTAGTCTCTGCTTTAGGATTTGCGACTGAGACAGGAACTCCGTGCAGTTAGATATGTGCCATATCGCCATAATTCATCTTTATATTAACTGGTAGATGACTTTCACCAACTACTCACTTTGAATGTCTAATATTTAGGTCAAAGGTTAATTTATTGGATGTCAGCAGTGGGGTGTGCTTTCATAAAAGGTTACTATTACTGGAGTGTAGCATCAGTCATTACAAGGTCAGCGTCATGATACTCTGTGTATCGATACTTACTCCTGTTTCGATACCATGCAAGTCTTCCCAGAGCCACGTCTGGAGGAGATTGAATTATTTTGCATGAAATTGCAAAGAAAGTTTTTATGGAGCCCGCTGGGGGCGACAACTTTATTAGTTTTAAAAGATTAATGTCACAATATGCGCTGGCGTATCTCTCAAGACTTTTTTTTTTTAATTTTACCATTAAATCTCTCATTTTATAGTTTGATATGCTTCATTGTTTGCCAGCGGGGTACAGGTTTGCATAACTCCTGTATAATTAGGGCAGCACCTAGACAGGCAGGGGTCGGACCGAATCTTAAGAAACAGAGCAGAATTAAGGGGCAACTGAAGGAGAGCCAATCAGAGCAGCTCAACCTTTCTGCAAGCCATCGGTGCAAAGTGACCCAGATGGTGAATCTGTCATGTTGGAGGTCAAGGCTGACGAAAGGCTGAGATATTTAGCATTTCATCCTCCCACTCTCTCTTCTCTGTCACCGTATCAGTGAAGGGTATGGGGTGGTAATAGGGCAATAGGAGATGCGCAGCAAGTTCACTGCAAGGCACAAAGAAAAGAGGTTAATGTATGAGCGTATTGATATGCACTGAGTTGGCATCTGCACTGCGTTGCTCTAACAAGAGATAATGAATGTTTATCAGTCATTCAGCTTGTTTGGTAGATGAATCCAGATGGTGAGGGAAGCCAGTGATTGCAATTACTGCAAACTGGAGCATGTGAGCAGAAAGTGTAGAGCAAAAACTTGGTTGTTGGGGTTTTTTTTTTGTCCATATAAGACGAAAGCTCTCAAAGCTATATGCTCGAGGTTGTACAACGTTTTTTCCCAGCAGTGTTTCTTTAATCCTATAAAAAAGCCCCTATGCAGGGGCGGCCCTCTCTCCCTCGAGTGCACAGCTGGAGGACAGTGGAAGCGAACATGAAAACTGTCACCATTCATAGCTCGTCTGCCACGTCTCAGCTGTGCCACTCTCAGTCAATAGCTTTTAGGTAATCAGGATCTACCCTGCAGTTGGAAATGAAAGGCTTCTTTTGTTGTGACGATGATAGTGTCTCTAATGATCTCACACTGTAAAAACGCACATGTTTTTCACAGGCATTTTCTCCCATCGCAGCAGATTACATAATATGTTCATGTTCTTTTTTTTTAAGGCTCAAATAGCTGCATTTACAGCTAACACAGGAATGTGGAAAATTGATAGATGTCTGCTGCTTTCAGCAAGATGTTAGTGGAATACTTTTTTTTAGGAACACAAGACTTGCATGTGAATAAGATAATCTAGTTTCCCTTCTGGCTCCAGGTGTTTACTTGGGAACATGAATTCCCATCTGCATGTACGATGACTTCCTCCTTTTCCCACTCCTTTTCTCCACCTCTCTGTGGATCATGTGCCAGGGCCTGGAGTAAAAAACTGCAATGTCTCCAGTTTGGTAAAAGCAGGAAACTCCATTATTTTTGCAAAGCAGTGCTCTGTCCTGATACATTACTGCTGCGGTGATGATAAATAATGTCGGTAATTTATTTCCTGGTGGTGAAAATGAAAATGCAGAAATACTGCTGTGGTGCACAGTGAATGTGACCTGGAAATAATCAAACACTGAGACAGGTAATAACAGAGAGCCCGTTGTAAATGAATGCAGATGTAATTGAATGTAACTCAATGCGATGAAAGGTCTGCGCAGTGACGTGGCGTTATTAAAATCCTACTTTAGAATAACTTCAAGACGTTTTATAATGTTGTTCATCACTACAGCAGCATGCGCTTTAGTTCAACTTTATATTGTGTTTTAATAATTAACCAAGGAATACGTGTTAGATTTTAAAACAGATGCAGTAGAAAACGTTTTCTAGATACAACACTGCCATCTGTTGGTTGAATAAAGCCCCTGCGACAGCTCCTCAACGTATTAGATCAACGGTCTGGTAGGTTTTAACCACTAAAATGATGTAAAAACTGAAATAAAATGCAATTCCATTACAAATTAAATATTTTTATATTAAATATTAAATAAAAATGTAATTCCCTTACAAATTAAATATTTTTATATTAAATTGGGTCAAATTGTAAAATTACTGTTTCCAATGTTTCCAATTCACCGTTATTCTCATCACCAAACCGACTCAGGTGAAAACCTACGTTCACTGACTCTCAGAGACTCAACAGAACTCATTTCCTTCCGCGGTGTTTGCCTCGCGTCGTCTGACACATACATCGCTATTCAAGTGGAAAATATAATTAAACAGATTAATTAAAAGTTTTCTCCTTTAGAACATCCGAGGGTCATCTGGTAACGTTCGTTCAAAAATTAATATGTCAGTGGAAGTTTTTTGATGATACACTGATTAAAATGTATCACCAAAAGAGTAATTTGTGTTAATATATATAAACTAACGCGACTTCCAAATCGAAGCAAATTATGACTGTAATGCGAGAGAAAAACCTAAATTACTTGTATGAAATTTAAAATACCTTTAATAATAATAATAATAATAATAATAATGTCTTTGTGAACCGGAAATCCTGGCTTCCCGCAGTGCCTTGCAGTTTCCATTGCATTGTCTCCTGTGGTGTTACCTCTAGATGGCAGCATACTTTAAGGTTTGGACTGGGAGAACTGTTGAACGCAGTAACGTTAAATGCATCAAGCATCCCGGTGGAGACGCACTTAGTCACAACATTATACTCGAAGCCAATCCTAAAAATATAAAAGCGTGAAGTGTTCGCCTAGAGATATCACAACACCAGATAACACTGGCCTCGACATGACGTTTTAGAAAGACGGAATGAAACGTGTATTTTTTTTTTCTGGCTATTTCATTGTCTATGGAAGAAGGGTTGTAAAAAATGTGCCTTATTCCTGTGTTTTTGAGGTATCTCAAAAAGAAATAAGCCAACAAAATACAAAAATGAGTTACGGTAAAAAAGACACACCTTGATATGTGCATGGTAACTGCAACTTTAAAGCCATAAGAGACATGACACAACAGACTAGGGAGTTGTTTTGTTAAACAGTGAAGAATCTCTACAGTGATTTGCCCCCGTTTTACTGTGTAAGTTTACCAGAGAGCCATTAGGGTCACATGAGAGCGATGGTTTATTTTTGAGTTTGTTTTAAGGTCTCTTGAAAAGAAACTAGGCCTGGGCTGAAAGGCCTATCAATACTGCAGTGAGGACAAAAACCTGTGCTGACGTATGAAAAAGAGAATTAAATCACATTATAATGGTAGAGCTGAGGGGGAAAATTTGTAAAATACGACTCAATAGATGCAAAACGTCTATTGAATCATGTCTGGTTGGATTGACTGACTGTAAATACCACATTTCTTAGTAATTTATTTTCCAATAATGGCAAAGAATTTTATTTTTAAAGCTAAGGTGAAACTGATATAAAACTTTAGGACGTATTAATGCAAGACCGACATTTAAATATTTAATTGTCCCAGCACTGACTACTTGGCCGAAGAGGACAATCTATTTATTTTTTTTATTTAAAATTTATCAGTAAACGTTTTATTTGTCTTTAAGATCAGATTTACATAAAGTAACACTAGAGCAAGAGCGCGACTCTTATTTTGAAGGAAATTCGGAAGTGATGATAGTGACCTCTTGATTGCGATATTGGTCCCAGCCGCCTCAACTGACAGTACGGTCCACACGAGAGCTGTGTAACACTCTACTCAGTTAGGCTCGCGCTCAGGATGAACGAGAGAAAGAGCAGCCGCCTCTCGCTCGACTCAGTTCGGCTCGCGCTCAGGATGAACGAGAGAAAAACGCAGCCGGAGCGCTGCAGCACCCGCGGCGGCTGTACGGTGACTCTGTATGGGGAGTTCTTAACCGTCACGAGAAACAGAAAAGTCAGGTGTGAGGTGACCCTGACCGACAAGGACCTGGTCGTCAAGGGACCCTATCCGACACCTTTCAGATGGAGCAAGGTGGTGCTCAACCTGAAGGACTGCATCGGCTGCCGAGCGTATCGCGGAGGTGACACCGCGGACCCGGCGGCGTACTTGTCAGCCTACTTCTACCCGCTCAAACGTCTGTGGATGAGTTCCGGGATGTCGCGGCAGAGAGTGGAGCACTGCTTTGGGTTCAACACGCTGCAGGACCCGAGTGCAAACCTGGAGGAGGCGGAGAAGTGGGCACGGATAATTAGGGAGCGAAGTGGCCGGCCACAGCCTCACGGAGACGGTGAGTGGTAAACAAACCAAACACAAACAACAACAACCGACAAAAACAAATAGCAAATTGAATGTGTTTTTGAATTACATTTTTTTATTAAGTTGTGAAGTTTTCGCATAAGACGCTGTTTTTCTTTTTTATTTATCACGTCATAAATAATGCACACGGTTTGGAGGATTTGGGTGAAATTGTTTTTTGTTTTTTTGGTAATATCAAATATTTCATCTATCTATCTGTCTATCTATATATCTTTCGAATCCAAAATGTGACCATGTATTTTTATTATCCCACAATTAATTCAATTTTATTGTATAAACCAAAACCACAGGCTGTCAGATGACCTACTACTGCTTTGACATGAATGTTCAGGTGAGAATATTCCTGATCACTAGATATTGCTAGATCCTACTCTGTGTTCCTTTATAAATATAAGCCATTGTTTACCCCCTCTTTTTTTTTTTTTGCATCTGCTACAACATCATGAATTGAATTGACAACTGTGTCATCAGTTTCAATTATAACCATATTCAAATCTGTTTATCCAAAGGGAAGCCAAGGCTTCCATATACTGAAGCTGCTGAGGGAACACAAACCAGTAAGAGTCTGAGACAGCCCTAAGTCTGTCCCTTTAGAACCAATAGGCTACGACTACTTACCTTAATAAGGTTTTAATATTTAACTGCTCACTAACTGCGTAAACACAGCTCCTCTGACTTACTCCTAATGAAAGCCCTTCTGCAAACTCTAACAACATGTCTATATAATAAAATACCCAGAGTTCTTCCTAAATCACTGATGTGTTCATTGATTTGCGACGATGAATCTAATTAAAAATTGTAACATATTTTAACCTCCGACTTGCATCGGTGCAGCCTCATCAAGCGCAGGGCAGTAACAAGGGCTTCAGCTAATGTTGGAAATAAAACTCTGGCCACCATGACGCACAGTAATGACTAATATCCACCAACTCTGTGAATGATTATACTTTAGTTAAACTTTTGCCTTTTCTTTTTCTTGTCATTTTTGTAAATGAATAATCCATCATTTGGATTAGACACAAATAAAAACTGTCGTAGAACAGCTTTCACCATTGTTTCTGGAAACGTTAATTCTAACTCTTCGTTTACATAAGTTATTACGACAGTGTTTGCAATCCTTAATCAAATAATATATTGAATTGAAGGCGTGTCCAATGAGGGAGTGTCTGACTATAAAACAAACACGTACAGCTGACAACGTACTGAATGCATACTGTGGATAAAATGACAGGTACACAGTAGGACCTGCCTGTTTCCTGGGGTCATATTCCTGAAACACCAGTTTGTCAACACCAAAGTAAAAACACCAGAGAGACACAAGCAGGGGTTTTGAAGGTTTTTTTTTTCTCTATTGAGTTCATGTTTGGCCAAGAGGTAAAATCTATCTGCTGGGAAATGCTGTGCACGGTAATTGGATATTTCTAAAGATAAGTTACCTCATTATTTGGTAAAAGGTAAAAGTGTGCGTTATGCTAACTACTTTCTGCAGTACACAAGCAGCTTTGGAACCACTGTGACCCAGATAAAACTTAGACAAAATACATTTAACAATGAATAATATGAAAAAACTCAAAACTGCTAATTAGTACCAAAAAAGAGAAGAGACTAGAGTCTAAGACAGCCAGTATTATTGACTTAAAGAAATGAGCTGTGGCTGCACCACGAGGCTAAACCAAACTGGTTCTCTACACAGAGATGTTTACATTTGGATGTTGGCTCTGGAGTGATGATTTTCTTTTAGTCCAAAGCGAGGTTAAACCAAACAGGTTCTCTACACAGAGATGTTTACAGTGGAGTGATGATTTTCTTTTAGTCCAAAATTGTGTGTGTGTGTTTGTTCGTTCGTGCTTACCAAATATCTAATTTTTCTAAAGCTCAGTTTGATCAGAAAGTCAAAAAATGATGTAGAATAAAAGGTGACCTTGAAAAGTTTTGAAGAACTCTATGATGTCACCATGGCTTCAATGAAAAATATGCAAGATGCTGACATTCGGGGACAAAAGCAGTTGTTTAGGTGAAGGCAGTCATGGAGATGATGATGATGATGATGATAACTTGTCATGTTCAAGTGCAGCTTTTAAAAAACGTACTTGTCTTAGTAGTGTAATCACGTCACCTGGACCGAAATCTCAAGTTTCTCATTAATTATTGCTTTTTCAAATGCCGTGGAAAGTTGTTATCTTCAGCTTTTAATTAATGGAGTGATTACTTGTTGTCAACGAATAAGATCTGTTTGGCTGTGAATGGTGTTATCACATGTCATCTGAAGGCACAGGAAGAGAGATGACTATCCTGATTGAATCACACACACTCGTCATCAGGCTCCCACTATCCAGTGACAATAAATTACAGCACATCATCAGCTATTGAGCTATTCATCCGTCTTCTATTCCACCTAATCCTTTAAAGCGCTGACAAGTTCACTTAATTGGTCTAAAAACTCTTATTTGTTTACGGCAATTTTTTACCCATTACCTAAACTGATCAGCTGTTAATTATCCATTAAATCAACAATATCTTCTTGCAGATTCATAATAGACCCAATGCTTCATGGGTCAGATAGTCCTGATAGAACTCCCCTGTTTGATTGTAATTAAACTCCTATTACAGGCTGAACAGGCTGAACAACAGCAGTTCCTACCAACAGCAGCCGTATTTGCATTTCTCTATAAAACACCAGAGGCTTTTTTAATGTGTTGTCAGAGACAGCAGCAGACCTCCCCTGAGAACTCCTCCTCCTCCTCCTCCTCCTCCTCCTCCTCCTACCAGTCTTCCTCTTACTCACTGAATGTACTAATAGTAATAGGTTTGATGTACAGCAGATTTCCATCCGTCTTCTTATCGTAAGTCACAAGTACTATTACTGTGTTGGCGAACAGAGGGGGAAAAATCACCACTAAAGTAAAGGTCTCAAATTGAAACTTCTTTGCAGAGAAAGAGAAACAAAGTAGTCAACTGAAAATCTCATTTTCAGTTGCTAAAGACTACGCCGTCAGGAGACTGTAGAATAGGTGAACTAGAAACTCTGGGCATGTGAGTTAAATAATTGTTAAGTAGATGAAGTAGGAGAGACAGGGCAAGTACTAACTGGTACACAAATAGACCTGTATTGTGGGAGGACACTTTATTTAATTTTAATGAGAATCTAAATGTAAAATAGATCTGAATGTGAGGTAGAATGATGTCCGTACATGGTCCTGTAATGGACAGACCAACAGTCTGGGGGTGTACCATGTGAGATGAGATTAATTCTGTGACCCTTAATAGGATGAAGTTGTACAAATGAATCGGAGAGACCGAGGGGAAAGAAAGATGTCTGTATGTTTTCCTATCCCAGGGGTAAACACACGGTAGATATTTCATAATTTCTTTTACACCAGCTGAGGTAGTTGAAGCGAGCCCTTCTCTTTTATTCAGGACACAGACTGTGGCTTTAACGTCTGGAGCGATGAGCAATTTGGGGTTCGGTGTGGTGTCAAATGCTGGATACCACAGCACGCAGTTGGAATTGAACCTCTAACCATTTGGTGAGAAGAAAAAAAAAACCCTTTTATGTTACAAAGTGAGTTGTGTGTAGACGTACAGAGAGGGTGAGAGGACGCTGACTGTCCCCAGAGCAGCATAACTGTGGGACCATTCAGGACGATAACAGTGGAGCATAAAAACATTAAGTGCACCCCCCCAGCTTGTTTACTCCAGAAATGCTGCTCAAATCATTCTATGATAGGCTGCCGACAACAAGTAGAACAACCACTAATTGACCATTCGGTGCAGCTGCTTCAGAGGACGCCGCTCTTTGCTTACTAAAAGAAAATGTGGTGAAGTGGCTGTGTGTTTTATGGGAGGACGTTCATTTCCTCTGTAGCTGGCCCTTGTTACAGTTTTTGTGTCTGTAATGGGTTTTTTTTTTTTCATTTTTCTCCCGTGGCGACTTGTTAATTACAAATCCACCACTTCACTCTGCACTGAAAGTTTAGAAAGTCTTATTTTTTTAAATTCAGGATTCCAACCTTTCATCCCTAATTTGACTCTGTTCATGTTGGACACACGGTTCGACTGAGGCACAGACGGTGGTCACATCCTCTTGTCTCACAGCACTGCGCTAAGATCACACAGACAGCGCAGGATCAAACCCTTATGTTGTAGAGTCTCCCTCTCTTAATATAGATCTATAGCAACCTAACCACCAGCACCTCCTCCTCCTCCTCCTCCTCTTCCTCCTCCTCCTCCTACTCCTCCTCTACTTCCACACCCTTCGTGGTTCTGGCTCAGCAAAAAAAAAACTGCCTCTGTGTTTGAGCCACTTGCAGACTTTGATTTACAAACACCATCACAAACCAGAGTTATCACTTGCTGCTGTGGGTGTTACTGCAGTTGGCTTAGAGATGAAGCAGAAAGAATTCAGCGGTGTTGTGTTGTCTAAAAAAAAAAGACGTTTATAATGATCTCACATTACGACAGTAGTGAGACCTGCTATGATGTTTGGTTCACAGACAGTGTCTGTGTCTCATGGACAGAAGGCTGAGTTGACGGTGGCAGAGACTCACACTGATCAGACTGACCAGGATGGTTACATACAGTAAAGCTATGTATTTTGATGATATGACATTAGAGGGACAGTAGTGGCTTAGTTGTTAAGGCTTCAGGAAGGTTTCAGGTTCGAGTCCACAAGCTGCCAAGTTACCACTGAGGTGCTCTGAGCATGGCACCGTCCCCACACACTGCTCCACAGGCTCTTAAAGCTGCCCACTGTTCACTTTCACTTTATCCTCAATCTACACTATTTTCTCCCGTCAAACCACAAATGGCAGTATTTCTCCAGCCATGGAGGCAGTTTAGAGGTAGAGGCAGGACAGATGAGAATCAATCAAGTCTTGTTTTTGAAGAAAATGGCGTTCTATCATTGGTACAACCACTGGCTCTGAAGACTGGCTTCAAAATATACCTGCTGTTGATTTGGCGTCTGCCGTAGACACCAGTGAGAATGACACTGGCTCAGAGTCTGGGAAATATTTCTTGCTTTGTCATCACTATTTGCTCATTTCAAGTACTGCCCATATTGCGTCGACTGTGTGTAGCAGGACTGATAATACACACTGAACACAGACTGCACTGTGTACTCTTAGGGAGTATGTAGAGTACACCGTGGTTGTCATGTCCAGAGGTTTTTAGGTCCTCTGTCTCATCAGATACTGTTGTGTTTTCTGTTTTCTGTTTCAGCTATTTTTTTTTGTTTGCAGTAGGTTTGTCTGGGATGAGTATAACTAATGTAATAGGCTACGGCAGAGACATAGGTGTCACAGAACCACAGACGCACCAGGCCAAGTACATGTTAATCCATTAATCACTTTAATGTGGAAACTGGACTCTGTCCTAATGTTTGTCAGGGTTTGGAGCCTCATCACCACAACAGACAGAAACACCAGTGCAGTCTGCTGTGAGGGCAGCGTCTTGGTCGTCAATCTTAATATATACTTTGAAGATCCATTTACGGCAGAGCAACACCTGTTGTACTGACACATTATACACAGGAGCAGAGTCGCTGGAGAGAGTGGACCAGTGGTTTTCAAATGAGGGCAGACTAACAGCATTATTCCTTTGAAATGTTCTGTTTAGGAACCAATCTAGGTTTCAGTTAATTCACCAGTTAATTCACCTGTCTTCAACATTTACTACTTTATTCTGGTAAGATGAGGCTGCAGCTAAAAATAAATAAATAAATAAAAAAAACCGACAATTACACCAACAGTAAATCTGAGTATCAGTCTCCCATCATCATAACTACCATATTTTGGGACACTGGAATCATTCCCTGGGGGAAAAACAGGATACTCACACAAAGAGTATGCTAACATATTTATATATATATGTCTATATATATTTATATATATGTGTATATATATTTATATATATGTGTATATGTATATGTATATATACATATATATATTATATATACAGATATATATTATTTTTAGTTTTTTTCTTGTTAGTCCAACAGGCAGAGCTGTGTGTTGAAGCCTCACCTCAACGGTGGTTGATTTCTATCAATACTTCGTTCCTCAGTGTCTGGTCGTTGGTGCTTTGACATGCTATAATGCTGACGTGGACGTGTTAAAAGGGAAGTAGAGTGAGGTGTTAGTGTGACTGACTGAATACAGAGGTCGTCACGATGAGTCAGTGTAATTGGTCAACAGTAGAGCTTTAGATGGTAAGAGTGGCCACCTGACGTCAGGGTTGATAACACTTTATCTCTGAACCATCTTAGTTTAACACAATCATCATGATGGATGTATGTTAAAAACTGGTCTTTTCATTCAGTAAAGTTTTTTTTATTATTTATCACTGGATAATTATATGTGTCCTTGTGTGAATGCTGACTTTCAGCAGAGCTGTTATATATGTTGTTCATCACTGGGGAATTATACGTGTCCTTGTAAATGAACGCTGACTTTCAGCAGAGCTGTTATATATAAAGTGGGGAATTTGACTTCTCTATATGAACTTGCGCAGCTATTATAAACTGGAATATGTGTTTTTTCCTGCTCCTGGGGTTTTCCCTGTCATGGAGGTTAGTTAGGTTGTCATTTCCTATGGTAAATATCTCAGCAGTGATTACTCCATTAAGATCTGAGACCGTAGTCGGCCGTAGTCTTGAAGCGAGGAGATGAGACGCCTTCTATTTACAGATGGAAGAGATGAAGTTAAAGTGTGGGGCAGACCTGTGAGCTTCCTAATGTATCTGATTGTCTGCGTGGGTGATGATCCAGTAACTCCCTCTGAAACCGCAGCCCTTTCATCCACTTTATCACTTCATCCAAGACGGTAATTGACTTTTCCCCACTGTTTTGTCTAGCAGATAATTTCTCCTGCCAGAGCTCTGTCATTGGCCGACATAATGACTGGTGCACTCGACAAAAAGATAACATAAGAAGCTGAACCAAAATTAGTGTCTGGGACTTTATATGTACATCAGCAGTACATGTACAGTATATCATCAGTCAACAGTCGGGGCTACACCCATACAAACCACACACTACTCCTCAACTCATCATCAGAGAACTAACAGAATGACAGTCTACGGCACATTTAAGGACAGAGTCGATGTCTGGGTTGCGAACATTTCAGTTTTTATTCCTGTTGACTTTCGGCATTTCTCGTTTAAGCTCAGACTTTGGCTCTGTGCCACTTTACCGCTGCAGCGGAACTAATGATAGAGGAGGAAATGTGGAGTGTGGAGAGACAGAAACAAGTGGATAGATAGAGCTCTGTGGAATGTTTTGAGAAGGCAAGGGTGGCACACAGGAAGTGGCGTTGGGTTGAATGTAGCCAACAAGAGCTTTTGTGTGGGTGTTTGGGACGCACAAACAGCAAGGTCAGGGTGTTCGGTGCCAGCTGTCATTCTGCCTGATTAATGGGGGGTGGAGGGGAGGGTCACTTTGCCGACTTTCTCCCAGGAATTCAGCTATCATGGTTTTCAGATTTATAAACATGCGAGCAAGAGAATCTGGATTAGTTATTTTGTGTCCAAAAGTTTAACAAAGCTGTTTGGTAAATCATTATATCATGGAAATGAATTTTCCTATTTTTTTACATAAACAAATCCTTCATTCACTTACAGTAGGGATGTCTGATAATATCGGCCGACCGATATTAGCATAATTATGTAATATCTGTAAGAATAGTTATCGGTTTTCCTTGTAAAAATGAGAACTTGATAACGCAAAGCCTGGGTTGTGCCAAATAATGTGTGCCCTAAAAATAGTTTTGAGGATAAACAGCTGTATATTAACGTGAAAGTAACTAGATGGCATCACTGCAGGTGATTTAATTAATTAATTTTAATAAGCAGGGGGTTGTTTGCAGAATACAGAAACAGAAACATAATATTACCAGGCCCTCGTATTGGTTGATATCAGAATAGGAAATTAAGTGTTTGGACAATATCGGGGAAAAAGTTAATTTCCGACGTCCCCAACTGATAGTGTTCTTACTTGGTCTGAAACTTTGCTCAAAAGACATTGGCAGTACAGTATGTCCAGTCACTGACCAACATTTTACTGCTGCCGACTTTTATGGCTTTTGTCATAGTTTATTAATCCCTTGGTGAAACCGACTCTCTGAATATTAACCCGTCTTAATGGAAGCCTTTAAAGAGTGTGCGTGGGTTGGTACTGCAGTACCGTTGGACTCGATCGACC